CAACTGACCATTGAATAAGTCAGTGCTCATCTGCTTCTGTATATCTTCCAGTTCAACTCTCATAAGATTCAGCTTCCTATCCAAGGATGATAATTCCCTATTAATGTGTCTTTCACTCTGCTCAATCATCTTCAACTTTCTCCATACCAAGTACATGGCATACCCCTTTATATTCTGTCCCCATACTTGTTGTACCACTTTTTTGAATTCTCCCTATTGTAGGATAGCGTTGAATAATCTAAATGGCTTGCGCAGCCTCTGCTTGGTTCTGTCAGTGCTAATAATAATTGGTGAGTGGTCTGATACTCCAGGGCAATCATAGAAAGCTTCAATCTCACTGTAAAGCATGAACCATTGAGGATTCCCAAACACCCAATCAATGTTACTGTAGATTCTATCTGTTTCATCTCGTTTATTGCACCATGACCATTGCCAACCCTTCCTGTTCAGCTGTCCCATTCCCAAATCAGTTATACAGCTTTGAAAGTCCTGAACTTCTATTTTTGGTTTACAAGATTTTCGTTCATTCTATCATTGACTGATAGGATTGTGTTGAAATCCCCCATCACCAACCATGGATCCTTTATGTTATTATGAAGATTTCTCATCTGGTTCCATATTTCTTTCCTCTCTGTAATTGTATTGTAGCCATAGACAAAAGTTAATTCACAAGAGAAATCCGAACCTCTATCTTTTACTATACAATGGACCATCTGGTAACTTGCCATAACCACCTGAACTTCAACTAGATGATCTTTCCACAGTACCCAAATTCTCCCTTTAGGAGCTACAGTATAATTGGCATAAATTGTCCATTCTCCTTCAAATTTCCTTTTCACTTTAGCTACTTTTTTATCTTTCACTTTTGTCTCAAGGCACCCTATTATGGACACTTTATTCTTAAGCAGGAAGGTCTTGAGTTCCTTCTGCTTAAAGGGATTATTTAGCCTTCTGATGTTCCATGAACAGACTATCATGGGGGAAACTTATCAGAGGTTCTAGTGTCCCTTTCCACACTTTTGGTAATCTCTTTTGGTTGAATTCTCAACGAGCTGAATCTGTTTTTGCTTAGCAGCTTCTCTACTTCTTCATCAGTCATGGCACCTTCCTTCAGTTCATCTCTTTGAGCCACCATTTTCATCTTCCCTTTCACTCTTCTGCCTTGATCATCATTGTTCATATTGTTCTCAACCTACTTAAGGATTTCTTCCTCTGCTGTTCATGTTCTGGTGGTTGAGTCTTATTATCTTTCACTTTCCATTAGGTTGTTTGCTGTTTTTTCTGTCTTTGTCTTCTTCTTCTCCGGTTCTGTTCTTTACCCTTCTCATGTTTAAATTCATTCTCTTGTTCCTTCTAGCAATTTCCAGCGATATGTCCTATTTGTAGACAATCCTGACAATAGGAGGGCTTCATTCATATTCTAGCTTCTGCTCTTTGAATCCTCCTTTTTCATCCTCAATCAGTATATGCTCAGGGAGAGGCTGAGAGATGTCTATGTCCACCAGTACTCTAGCATATGAGATTCTATCCCCTTGTGCTGTCGATTTATCAGTACATACTTGTTTTTCTAGGTAGCTCGCAATTCTGCCCAAATTCTCAGTTGCCCAATATTGAATCGGCAGCCCACGTAGGATTACCCAAGTAGGAACAATTCGATTGGCTAATATCAAAATCCGCCTCCCATTGTTTTAGGATCATAGGTCGATTATTGAAAGTGTAAGGCCCATACTCTAACACCTTCATCTTATCTTCATCATTCAGGAATCGGAATATAAAGTATCCAGCATCATGCAGGTATACCTGTAGTGTGTCCACACATTGCCAAACTCCATAGACGAATTTCAACATATTCTTGAATGTCGGCGAACCACCTAATACGTACCCAATCAAGCTTGATTTCCACTTTCTAGTTTCCTCTTCTACTTCAATTTGATTGCGGCGGACCACTTTTATCCCTTCTTTCATAACCGGTGGGTAGTATTCAAGTTTCGATCCCTGATGTATGGATCGATTCCCTCGTACCACATCTGCTAGGGTGATCTTTGCTTCATGCGAATCGACTGAGAAAGTAAGCTTCCGTGCTGCCAAATTCGCATCCGCTTCCACTGGTTTTTGAGATTCTTTCACCTCCATTGGTTCCTCTTTCGTCGGAGCTTGCAAAATTGTGGGAGCGCTCCTCATACCTTGCATCCAGTGAACCAATTGAGGTGGTTCTAGGGTTTGGGGAACTCCGGATTCCGGTGTAACCATCCTATTTTCTGAACTCACCATCGTATCTGCTTCCAGAGCTAGTTCATTGCGTCGTTTCCGGCGGGTCATCGGAGAAGGCGTATGTTAGCTATTCCTTGCGTAACGTGCACCTCAAGAGAAAAGCCCTCCTCCCAAAAGTAGCCACTTTTAGGATAGATATATTTAAAACATAGCATATATTTAAAGTGTTTAAAATTTAGTCACTTGTACGAAGTTTCAAAAAGGGCTGAAGTTTGGATTTGGTTGTTCAAATTTGGCAGTTCATTCAATAATTCTAAATATAATTTTGTTGTATGGTACTAGAAGTAACGAAAATAATTTCAAGATACAAAGTGAGATAATGAAATTTTGCTATTTTGTGTTTGATTGAAGTATTTCATCTAAGTGTAATTTTAGAATTAATTTTATATCATAATTTAGATTATTTTATATTTTTTAATATGGCATGGCTATTAATTATAAAGATGTGCTTCTCATAAAACTGGATTACACTTTTTTTAGGGAAATTTTCATAATTACTTATGGATTTATAAAATATTTCATAATCTACAACTAATAGTACAAAAACATATTCTACAACAAATGTATAAAAATTTACTCTACAAATACACTAGATTTCCTATTAAAGGGGAAACATATCCCATAATCAGCTCCTAAAAATTCTCCATTTGATTAATTATTGATGACAACTATAACAATATCTCTCATAAGCACGTTGATACATTTTAAAAAATCTCATATATATATATATATATATAAAAAATACTATGTATAGTATATTTTTAATAAAGTTTTTTTTCCAGTTCAATGTTTGTATACTATATATTAATATACAGTATATTATATAATATACAATAATACATTGTATAATAACTTGGAGGAAGTAAATTCATTTAGCTGATATAAAGATAAAGAAGAAGCAAACTTGGGGAACAAATATAATGTATATATTTTCAAATGTATATTATAAAATGCATATATTATTAAAATATGCAGTAACACAGTATACAGTATATATAATATCAAATAATACATCTATATATATATATATATATATATATATATATATATATATATAAAGGTGGGGAAAAAATGCTGACTTGGCACCTCTCCTTGGCCAAGAAACTCATTTATCTTTTTTCTCCTTTTTTTTGTTTTCCCCCCTTATGTTTCCCTTTATCTTATTTTAAAAAATTCAAAAGTTTCTAAATATTCAGTTACTCTTATCTCCTTGCCCCTATAATTAATGTGATTAATTTGAATTAACTGTATTAGTAAAAGCAAAAGGCCTCTTCCCCTCCCCACGTCTAACATAATTTACGTTTTTTCTTTTCTTTTGTTATTATATAAAGCAAAAAGCCTCTCCTTTCCCATATCAATCTTTATCTTTATTCATGCATGGTGATAAGTTTCTTTAGTTTTCTCTCCTAAATTCTTTTCTCAGTTTGTCCTTTATAATTCTTTTTTTTTCAATTTATTCCTTTAGAATAGAGTTGATTTTTTCTTACCAACTTAACTCGGTTATGATTTCATAAACTCTGATTTGTTTGAATATTGAATTGCTGATTCTCTCTCTTTTTTTCTTTTTTTTTTCTTTTTTGGTGTTTGTTTGTTTGTTTATTTGTTTATTTGTTGTTTTTTAACTATCTTATATATGTTGTCGATATGTAAATTCTGAATACGTAAGATGTTTTTTTTTGTGACTAATTATATATGTGTCCATTTCTAATGAAGTGATCCAAGATGTGACTAATTATTATTTTTTCCTCACGATATTCTTTAAGCAATTTATATATGGGACAATAATATTATAATATCTGCTGTATAATATATTTGAATGTTATATTTATATTTATGAAATTCTTTTGGAAATTAAAATTCAAAATAAAAAAAAACACCATCAAATTTGATCCTTTCTATTCTAGGCATGTTCTATCACAATATTATAGAATTTCCTATTATTCTAAGTGCCTATCTTCATTAACTATAGAAATAACAAATCAAAGATACATTTAGATGAATACAGTACCACAAGCAAGGAAGACAAAGGATTAAAGAGAGAAAGAAAGCAAATTTTTAGCTTAAAGTGAAAGTCTCACTGGGATTTAGTTCTTTTTTTTTTTTTTTTTTTTTATTTTCTTAGTTTTTCTGATGACTTTAGATTACTTGCTTATGAAAAAGATTACATCCCCGCTGAGAATTTGGGATATTCACTATTTATTGTTTCTAGTCGATATTTATAGATTATATAGTGATTATACACATTTTATATATGTATATTATTTTTAATTTAAGCAATTAGATATGCGACTATTTTGGTTAATTCTTTTTTTTTATGATCAAACTTTCAAGCAAAGTGTACGTTTGTTGGTTTCATACCCGATGTTTAATATCTGTTTTGACACCCGATTAAATTAGATTCGCACCGAGAAGTCTAACTCCAGGGGATAAAAAGCTCTCTATTTAATGCAATTTCATGACAAGTTTTGCATATTGAAATGATTTCCGACATATGAATATGTGATGTCAATCGTTTATAAGCAGTTCTCCTAAATTTATGTAGGTGAATACTATACTCCAATAATAAAACTTAGTAGTACTAATATTTATTAAAACGAATAAGAAATAAAGAGTTTTTATGCATAATCTATGTATGTATAACAGTGGCAATGAATGCTCCAAACCCCTTATTTCAGTTGTATCAGTTGCAAATAGTTAAAATAAATAAATTTAAAATTAACCCCACAATAAAACCATAAGAAAGAAATTATAGGTAGAAAACCAGTGCCCACAAGAGGGAAAGAAAAAAGAAAAACTCAGTTGAACAACCATATATCACTGTACATAAATTACAACATGCTAATCTCTCTCCATCTTTTTCCATAGATCTTGTATCTTTAGGAACCAATGTCACTGAATTAAAAAAAAAAAAAAAAAAAAAAAAAATATGTCACTGAATTATTGCAAAAGAATTCTCTCTAACTATAACACATTTACTAACCATTGCATACATGTAGGTGACCCTCTCTACCTTCAATAGGTAAGGGTCGTACACACTACCTTCCCCAGACCCCATTTGTGGGAATACACTGGGTATGTTGTTGTTGTTGCATGCATGTAGGTGAAAGATCGACAGCATCTCAAGATTTGTGCTGAAAAAAGAAGAAGATACTTTTGTGATTTATGTGTCAAGTAAATAAGGGAGCAATCTAAAATGTAATGATCATACATACAAGCTCCACTCGCCAATTTCAAGAAGCGGCGTTCTTCTCTTCTTCGAGTATGGCAGCCTCTCTAAGTGCGACTAGTGCCTCGTTTTCCCTCCCCAATGTGAAAAGAGAAGCAGTTTGCAAATACGATGCGATATGCCAAACAGGAGATATTACCTGTGCTTGTACTGCATCGTTGAGGGCTTCTTGTGGCATATCACTCATGAGATAAGACAGACTCCGATGAGCGTACACAGTTGGTGAAACCATGGTTCCAACATCAATAAACTGCAAGACCAACCCAAAGTAATTAAATAAAGATATAAGTTCAAAAATAGATAATCCACATTATACGGTACGATGTAGCATAAACATTATGCGGATTTCCAACCTTCGTATAGCATTCAATGGCAGCTCTAAAATCTTTGTTCTTGAAAGCAGCATCACCCTTGTTCTTTGAGTTCAATGTTTCCAGCATCTGATCTGTCCACATCTGAAATGAAAGCTGCAAGCAAGAAAAAAAGTTTGATTATCATGAGATGCTAATAATTCGCTTTCGAACACATATAAGCTTGGATATGATCACAATATGAATGATCAACAAGTTGAAACACACGAATCACATGCATGGCGGAGCCAGGATTTGAAGTATGGGTTCGGGATTCTAATCCTTTTAAGTTACTGGGTTCTGAATTAATAATTTATAAATATTTAGTGGATTTTTTAAGATAAATATAGTTTGAACCAAAGCGTAACCCGACACTCTAGCTCCTCCCGTAACCCGACACTCTAGTTCCTCCCCAAAGCTACTGGGTTTGGCCGAACACGTAGCGATGGGTTTATGTTATCATGTTCAATGCAATGAAAGCCTCGGAAATCTTTAACTTGGGTATTTTGTTCAATATTAAGAAGACGGCATTAATTCTATAGAACAGGAACAAGTTATAGAAGTTCAGAGAACAAGCATATACAAGACCAGAACATCAGTTCCAAGAATAATAAATGATAGACAAACCTCAGTAGCTGCTCCCTCATCATCTTTGTACCCAAGCGTGTCTAATATCTCATGGATGGCAGTCAAGTCGGTTTTCAAACAAGCTTCACCAAGTGGAGAAAGAGACATAGTTTCGCCATCACGTGATATACCCATCAATACATGAGAGGGAACCTGAAAAACAATTTACTAAAACTTCAATCCAGCTAAATTTTGTCATGTAATAGATGATTTAAGTCATCTTACTATCAGCCGATGTAGATAAGTGAAATCAAGTTTATGGAAATTAAATGTAATCTAGATGCTTCTCACCAAATTTTAGTTATTGCTTTCACTAATTTTGGATAACTACTATATTATAGAAGTATTTAGGAAAAAGATGCTGGAAGAAAAATGCGTAGGCACAACGCATATAAGGAAGGCACAAACCTCAGCTTCTTTTTGAAGAGGATATAATGCAGCAACTAAGGACTTGAAATCCGGCCGCTCAGGCTCGTATTGAAGACAACTTGAAGCAATCCGCACCAATTCAGTTCCGTCATCTGTAGAAAATTGACCTTCCAAGCAAGAATCAGTTAGCATCTGAAGATTCCGGTCTTTTATGAGATCCAGTGCCTGACATAAGCAGATACATATTAGAAGGAACAAGAGCACCGAAAAGAATTGTGTTAATTCATGAATGCTTGTATTTTGATAACCATCTTTCATCCTCAGTAATTATTTGATATATTTCACCTAAACTCTTGAAAAATATAAATCACAATATCTTCGGTTTCAGTACACATCTTAAGTAAGATGGAAGCCACCCCAGCCTTTTTTAAATTTGATGTCCGATTTTAACAATTTTGCCAAGATTTTGTAGCACACTTATCGTCATGTTTTCTCGTCACGATTAAGTGTGAGCAATATGGTTGTAGGGGTCACTTAATTAAGAAATAAATAAATAAATATAGCAGTTAAACCATACATGGCTAGGAGGGATGTGTTTTCCACTGAGAAGGTCAAGCAAAAGTGTCCCGAAGCTAAATATCACACTCTCCTGGGTGATTATTCCTACAAAAGTTCAAATAACTGAGTGAACTATAACAAGTTCAATAATTCAAGAAAGGATAAATGTAATTAACACCATGAATTCAATGAACCCTCCATACTGAATGGATCGCGACAAGGTACACGAACACCATAATGGTCAAAGTGGATCCTTTTTTTTAATAAGTGAAAGTAGCTCATACGAAACATTCCCCTTAATCTTGTAAATAGAAAAGTGTTAACAACTAAAGTGTTACAAAAGCAGAACATCAAGCAGCTCAGCTGGCTGTGGTTGTTTAGAGTGTGAATCATTAGACATGAAAAAACAACTGTGCCTTAAGATGGCCGCGTTTGTTTATTAAGGTAGCTCTTACCTGTTCTCAAATATTCAGGAGATGCCAAGTTTGTGCTATAACTTTTTCCACCTCGACTGTTCTTCATCAAAGCAAAACAAGAGAGTCGGGGATCACCATCCTGTGAAATATATAGAGGAGACCGTAATAGGCATTTGAGTACTTGAATTGTGAAATTTACCAATACTAACAAACAATGAAAAGAATGAAGATGTAACAATCAACTTACTTCATCGAATAATATTCTATAAGCATTAAGATCATGATAAAGAGCAAGCCCTTTGCCTGTAACATGATAAAGAGCACGCCCTACGCTTGTACAATACTCAAGAGCCTGTGCAATATACAAGGCCACCCTTAACCGCATTGCCCACTTCATTGGTTGTGTGTCCCCTGAGTTAAGCTCTCACAAATGAGTCGATTGAATTTCATTAATCATTATCGAAGAATATGTTATCTTTTGAAGGAAATTCATGAATTTTCAGTCTTCCTTAAAGCAATTAAATCAAATAGGTATCCCATCATCAAATCTCATTTTCCACTTGCCATAATTTCTCTCTAGGTGAAGTTTGGATAAGCTCATGGTCAGGTTCTACTCTTCAAATTCTTCACAATTACTAACCATGCGAAAAAGTAAAAAAATGGAGAAAAAAAGGAAAGGTACCAAGTTTAACTTTTCCAAATTGATTAACCTCATCTGTTTCTTTGATTTCATTATCATAGTCATTGCTTCCTACTCTCTCTTCTTCTCTCTCTTCTTAAACTAACCCTAGCGGAAAGAGAAAGCAACAGCAATAGCAGACTAGCAATGGCAGTGTATTGGTCTGTGAGCATTTGAATTTGCGGTGAAACAAGAAAAGGGATGATTCTTGTGGACTGTATAAGGAACTCCATGTATGGACATGCTAGCAAGCAAACAAAATCTCGCTTCAGAATCTAAGCAAATATACCTGAGAACAAAATTAGAAACCAAAGGGTAACTCTTTTATAAAGCAAAAGAAATGGGAAGTGGTGTCTGGCCCAGCTTGTGCGCATCTCGACTATTCCACCGGGTGCCTGCTACCTCCCACCAGCACAGGTGCCAAGGTACCAGATAATTGTGCCCACTAAGGCTCACCTAGTATTTTTGGCATGCGCTGGGGTTTGAACTTGAGACCTCACGTTCTCCTCCCATTCATTGACCACTAGACCACACCCTTGTGTGCAAATGGTAAGTCATTCTCTATGATGGATACTAACAGAGAAAACCATAAAAAGGAAACAGTAAGTCAGTCTCTAAAACAGAACAGTGCATGAACCGAAGGCTTTGTTTGGGAATTTCAGAACAAGGTCACATTGGATCTACTCTTTTTGTCTGGCTAGAATTGAAAAAGAAAGTCGAGGTGCAGTCTCATCCCGCTTGAAGTTATCAGTTAAGCCAAAAATCCTTTCGAAAATTAGTTCAGCAAATCTAGTATTCAACTATATATCAAACATATTATCAGTACACAAAATATGTTAGAACAAGTGGAGAAAGTAAAAAAATCTAAAGAAATGGTGATACATGTTTATGAGCATGTTTCTCCGTGAGCGAAATAAATCTGAATTTGTTTCACTCCCAGCCCCCCCCCCCCCCCCCCCGGGCCCCCGGAGTGAAACCACTCCTGATGTAGGGAAACAAAAGTATCTGTGTGGACGCACTTACAATGAAAAAGATGCTTTGCAAGTGTCTCATTGGGAATGAAGTCTGCAACTAGCAACCTCTCATCACCCTCGCAGCAACAGCCAAGAAGATTCACTAACCTATTGTTGCGGAGTTGACCGACGGCCCTTGCTTCTTCCTGAAATTTCCCATATGAAGAGAGAAAATCAAGTTCGAATCTATAGCTTAACTAAGTTAAGCATTTGTCAGTAGATGAAACACGAGTTAACTACAGGCTACATATATATTCAAAAGAGTGCGAGCACTAAAAAACCAGAGCTTATGGCATGCATTCATTTCTCTATTTCCATTTTGTTGTTGATGCCTCAGGTACATAATATAAGAAGGAACCAATAATTTTTGGAATTGGAACAAAGCCAGCCAAACACTTACTAAAAACTGCCGGGTATCAGGCCACGCAGATCTGTTGAAGCGTTTAATAGCAACCGGCCTCTGGTTCTCCAGCTTTCCTTTATAAACAACATTTGGAGCTTTCTCACCATGTTCCGAAACTATATTCTCCACAGCAAATGCAGATGTAGCTATCCTGAGCTGCTCAAATGTAAACTCTCGGAATGCAGGCAAATCACTAACTTCATCTTTTTCTTCATCTATTTGCAGCATGCAACCAGATAACAATAGCACATACATTAAACACTGCAGGAGGAAAGTGCTACAGAAAAGCTTATAATAAAAAAGATATACATACCAGGATTTTGAGCCTCGTAAATGGGGCCACTCTGTCCTGTCCAGTAATACAAGGCAAATTTAGAACATTCACAGCCCATGATGCTACCAACTGGTTTAAAGCCTTAAGGCCAATGGTAGCTTAGAGCTTGTAGCACAACCCAACTAATCACACCTTCTGCAGCTCCAAAATCTGCAGTTGGCTGCAAGAACCAGACGGTCAATTCAAGTGTATTCCACTTCTTAGAAGCATGGCAGAGCCAGGATTTTCACTAAGGGGATTAAAAATATAAAGAAGTAAATACACGAATAGGTCAAGGGGATTCAACATCTATTATATATACACAAAAATGGTTTTAACCTTATATATATAGTGTAATTTTCCAGCGAAGAGGGCTCAGATGAACCTCCTTCGGCCACTAGCTCTGCCCATGCTTAGAAGATATCCGAGTTATTGAAACTAGAAATAGAAAGATAGTCAAGTTTTAAAGAAGTGCAACAAAATTTTCACCTATTAATAATTCCCATTGGAATCTCCAAATGCTTCCTCATATACACAACAGAAACTGTACGACAGCACTTTTTCAAATCCAAAACTCAAAGAACTGCATAGAAATTTCATAGTCAAAGCTGTGTCCCTATGTGTTGTGTTAAAAAGAAGATATGCAATACCAAACTAGAATATCAATCATTCAAATACATCTCAATAATAAACTAGTAAGAGTCGGCTATATGAATCCTCTATTTCCATTCCACTCTATTCAGGCCAATTTTATTCCAAAATCAGTACAAGACCATGTACATTTTATTAAATCAAGCAAATAGCATAAGGTTCAGAATCAACAAAAGAAAGTACCTTTAGCAGCAATGGGAAACACAACTTCCTCTGCAAAGCAACCAATTCTGCCCCACCAAAAAGTTTCCTTTTTCTGAATCAACCAAAAAAGTTCAACACAACCTAAAGTCATATAGGTCAACCCAAGTCAGAATCAACGCTTACTGCATAAAAATCCACATAAAAACACACAACCAATAAAAACCCCATATACACATATACATGTATTTATAGACTAACTCAAGAAACCCAAGTCAAAAATTATGAAATAGATGAGAAAGAGCAATAAAAATGAATTCTTAATTCTTTTTTCAACCCAAGTCAAAAATTAAAGCTTGAAGCTTAATGCACCAAACCCCACATACCAAATACTTAAAAAACAAGAACCCATATACATATAGCTGAAGAAATAGATGACAAAAGAGCAATAAAAATGAATTCTTGATTTCTTTCTTCAACCCAAGTCAAAAATTACAAAGCTTGAAGCTTAATGCACCAAACCCCACATACAAAACACAAAAACAACAAGAACCCATATACATATATACGAGTATCAATATATAAGTTAAGAAATGGAGAGAAACTAACCCAATAAAAGTTGCTTCTAACAGAGGAAAAGAAAGAGGAAAAAGTCAGCTGAAGTTGAGAATATGTACAAATATTTAAGACACCTACGACCCATAATCATTTGTCTTTTTAAAATAAGAAAAGTTGTTTAGTACTATTTGACAAAATTAGAACTAAATATTCCCACCTAGTTGGTCAATTATGGCTCCCAACTCCAATATCTACTGAATTCTCTTTATCAAACGCAGTCCTTTCATTTTTTTTCCTTATAAACTGTTGTCTCTTAGTGGGTCCTTTCATTTGTGGACAAATTATATTGGAATTATAATAAGGAATTAAATAACAACGAAATTATTTAATAAATATATTTTTATAGTTGTTTGGTTGATTAAATTAAAAATGAGATAAAAGGGTATAATATAAAATATGTATTTGATTTTACAATAGATAAACTTAGGAAAAAAAATTATTTTTAATTGTAACATTATCTTTCTTAAAAGACTTTGGGAGACTGAAGAAGGGCTAATATGTCATTTTATTATTTATTTCGAAATTAGTAATTTTCAAATTAGTATCCCGCATTGAGTGTGAGTATAAAGAATATCAGGTTATCAGAATCAAAAGTTCAATCAAATGTGGGATAAGATAATCTTACATTTTATTTCACGATTATTATCCCTTATCTTTGTAATCAAACGACCACGTAGATTATTATTAATTTCATTGTTCAATCTCCTATAAGTTAGATTGTGTTTGTATTGATCTTAAACGTGGCTTAAACTCCAATTTAAGCATGTAAATTTTTATCAGACAATTAGTCATAGTCATCCAAAGTATTTAAAGATGTCAATGAATTAAGTATGAGATGAATGAAGCAAAACATAACTCTTCGCTCCAAACCTTCAATTTTATGTAGGAATATTCTTTGGTTTGATTCCAAATAGTTTAATCTATATAGTTTTCAGACGAAATTATCATTTTTGATAAGCAAAAATTTCAAAGCAGAGCTAATACAACAATCTAAAAAATAGGACAGCAACATAATCTGCATATACACTAATTAATTAATAATATGGTTATTCTCTTTACCAACAACAAAAGATACAAACACAGTAAGAAGTGGAATGAAAAACTAAACTGTCAATCAAGAAGTTTGTAACTCAATGTATCTAGCAGCATATGATAACATGATGAATCACATGTTGCCTTCAACAACAACAACATCAATCCCAGTATAATATCATAAGTGGGGTTTGGAGAGGGTAGTGTGTACGCAGACCTTACCCCTACCTCGAAGGTAGAGAGGTTGTTTCCGATAGACCCTAGCATTAACAACAACAAGATAACAAGAAAACGAAGCAAAGGGGACAACGCGTAAAACTATAAATCCACATGTTGCCTTCAAACTGTGGAAGTATTCATTAAAACAGGATGCAAACAGAATACATAGGATCTTTGAAGTAATTGTTTTCGGGCTTCTCAATCTCTTCTTAAAACAATCACAGCAAGAACAACATTACTTCCTGGAGATTTCACTTGGTCAACCGTGGCAGTTTTTTGGAGCCTGAACCTCCGGAGAACATTTCCAGAGCTTTGTTCTACAGACTTAGGGTGGAATAGAATGTCACCAGCAAAATTCTGCATAAGTACCCTTCTTCTCATCCAAAGTATCAGCTAAAGAAGCTAAACAGTAGTTTGCTTTCAAGAATTCAAAGTGGAATGGATTGAAACAATTGATGTACAGTATTACTAAGCAAAAAAGAAGACCAGGCAACATATTTAGAAAGTATACAAATAATGAGTCAAAAAACATTAACAAGGTTTACCCTTGCACTCCTTGCCTATAGCATACGCATTCCTGAAGTATAAGTCAAAAGTTACAGATAATGATACTTTCTTCCAAAATCCGATTTGTTACTATTGTCACCATTCTCATGAGTAGTTCGGAATTAATGAGATAAAAGTGTTCGCTTGGTAAACAAAATTTAAATAAGTAAATAAGATTTCAATTGGCCATTTCAATTTCTTTTACCATGGTCACCGTGCTAATGCGTTTCTTGAATTCATGAATATAAAAGGAAGGAATTTTATCAACTTCTGACCTCCTAAGAACCAATGCCAAATGAGGTATTAATACACAACCAGTCTCTTCCTTATGTAATCATGTTTAACCATATATAACATTTCCCACCCAAAAACCAAGCTGGGTGGTTTTAAAAAAAAAGCAGTACTACCAATTGGTTAAGAAGATAAAGGTCTTAAAATGGAAATTGTTTCGGTCATACTTGGAAAGACTGGCAAAGTCCATTAAAACCATCAAAAGAAGAAATTAGAGCAGAGCGCCAATGGTACTATAAAGCTGCATACTAAGGAGCTCCAAACTTAACAAACAAAAACATATGCTGTGAGTTGCCCTTAGCTGGATGCTGGAACTCCAGCTACCCTAGATGGTCCTCTTTCAAAAGAATCAGAAACCAACTTCTCAAAAACAATTTATCGGCACACAAGTGCAAGGCATCAGCATTATGTCATGAAGAAAGTACATGATTTCAGAATTATACTGTGAAATTGTTTTTGGCATTTCCACGCCATGCATAGGAGGTTCTGTGGCGGAATGGAGACAGAGAATGAATGAGGGTCGTCGAACCTTGTGAGTTTCCCTTAGCTCAAGCCATTCTGCAATTGTGACTAAGAAAACATCTGCACCAGCATCCCATAATCATGTAAACAATTTGATCTAACAACTGCACAAGAAAAGCAAATCTTAATAGCAATATAAGCAATGTATTGGAAATACATTAACAACATAATGACCCGTTCATTCAACTTCAAAAAACTAAAGTCCAAAGGAAAAGGGAAGAACAGAAAAACCCAAGCATGTCAAATATGAACATAATCTTCTATAAGTAAATAACAGTGGTTATATAACAAATGGGTAAAAGGAACTACTCAATGGACAAATTAGTGGCAATGCTCAAAGAATGGGCTCTTTAGATTCTCTATTTTATACTTCAGCTAAATATAGAAGAGTAACATTACTAATAAGGGAATATAATAAAATCCATCTAACGTTGTAGAAACAATCATTAACTTTTTCAGAACATAAGTGCATTACTGAGCTTGTGGAATTTTGCTCACAAAGCCTAACATCCTTTGGGATATCTAGCCGCTGATTCAAGAATCCTACAGCTCCAATCACCTGCAATCAACTCCAAATAGTTGTTCTTTATATATATTATGATGAAAAATAATCCAATTTTATCTTTTACTTATCTTATGCGTGAAGAGTGGGGGGCTCATAGAATTCTGTCTAACCCCGTCTCTTACAGAATGGGGTGGATACACTATGGCGGCAGGGACACAGCAGGGGCATTTACAAGGTTAATACAGCATACAAGTTACTGAATCAGCCAAACCAACAGATCACAAATTGGCCATGGAAGCATATCTGGAAAGTCATGATCCCTTAGCCTGTTTCACTTGGCTTTAGCAAAGGATGCTGTTTTGACCCATGAAAATCTCATCAGGAGAGGGATACCATTATGTTCAAGGTGTTTTCTTTGTGGGGAACAAGCAGAGACAGTCAGCCATCTATTTTTACACTGCAGGATAATAGACCAGTTATGGAAAATCTTTATTAATCTCAGAGGCATATCCTGGACTATGCCTAACAAGATTACTGAAGCTCTCTTGAGTTGGGATGAAGCTGGAAGCGGAGCTAGAGACAGAGATAGATGGAGGACTGTCCCAGCATGTATTTGGTGGACAATCTGGAATGAGAGGAATGCCAGGTGTATTGAGTAGTACTTATGTGCCGAAAATCAAACTAAATTGTATTTTGTTTTTGGTAATCAGCATTAAAGAGAAGATACTACTTCTATCATAGGAATTCTAGTTTCTTGTTAGGATTGCAGAACAGTGTATCTTTTTTGTTTTTCTGAATGACTGTAAATATGGTTTCAGTACAACCTATGTACTGTTTTTTTAATATACACAGCATGTTATCATCTCGTAGATGATAAGATTTTATGGTATGTTGTCCAAGTGAGATTACAGAAAAATGACAATACCTGCATTGAGTTGAGGTTATCCCAAGGGAGTTTTCCAGTGGCGAGTTCCCATAGTATCACCCCGAAACTGTATAGATCAGACCTAAATGCACATCCAAAGAAGGATTGATATCATTAAAATATTCAGGAATCTGCCTAAAAATGCATGTATCTCATAGTTGACATACTTCTCATTTGAAGGTTCACTTCGAAGAACTTCTGAGCCATCCATTGAGGCTGCAGGAGAATTTAGGTAGAAAATGATACAAGTCAGCAGAAGTTCAAACAACATAGGTGAATTAAAAGAGCTCTTACTACCACAGTAAGGAAGAGGTTTGAGTTCAAGCTGATACCGTTCCTTTACCCGTCTTTGTTGCTAGAAACGTTTCATATTTAAGACGACCAAAGTCCCCAACCTATTAATATTTTCCCGGTGAGATTCTCATTTTCCAGATACTAAAACCTCTTTAGTAATAGACATTAAGGAGATTGGTGACAAAGAGAAACGAGGACCGTCAGATGAACTGAAGCCAGACCTTAACAGTCCAGTTCTTGTCCACAAGAAGATTTGATGACTTCAAGTCTCGATGAACAATAGGTGGGTTATGATGATGAAGATAATTCATGCCACGAGCCTGAAAAAGGCAGCAAAAGTGAACATGAGTGTCAACCTAAAAGAATAACCCTGGTAGCTCCAAATATCTGAGATAAATATTATAATACTAACAGAAAAAATTTGATGATCAGCCACACATGAAGGAGAAAAGACTAAAAATGATGCTACTCATGGTAATATTTAATATAACTCCGGTGGAATAGTCGAGGTGCGCCCAAGCTGGCCTGATATATATATGAAGTAACTGGTATTCCGAAGCTAATAGGAACTTACAATGTCTAAAGCCATGTGGATCCGTCGTCTCCATTCTAATTTGGATGAATACTTCTGTAATAGCCTTAACAAACTTCCCCTGCAATAGTGGAAAAGATGAAATGGTTTATCAGTTGCACACGAAAAAATGCTTATAGTCACAAAGAATGAAACCAAACAAATTTATCACACAGAAGGGTAAAAGAGGAACGGGTTATTCAGCA